GGGCGGTGGGTGAGGCAATATTTCAATATCCACATTCCTCAGCAGTGGATATTGCCTTTCCGCGACGCGTGCGCCGGGGCATTGTCATGAAGCAAAAAGACACCTCTTTTCAGTTTGTGTCGTCGTTTTTCCTTCAGAGCTACCTTCAATCTCTTCAGCAAGCCTGAATAGCACAGGTAGTCCCCTGGGATAGTGCGACCCTTTTGTAGATGATCCGTAAGAATTATCCCATCCTGATCCCAAAACACCGACAACAACACTTTGCCAGATCATGAATTCTGCACTTTGGCTTTTTGGGGGGTGGGGGAAGATGGTGTTTTCCATTGCATTGAAGGAGATTTTGACTCTGGGTCGAAGTGATAAACCCAGCTTCCATCCATTGTTGCTAGATCTAAACGGTAAAAAAAAAAGTTGTCAGGATCTTCTTTGAACATGTCAATTATTTGCTGACTGCACAGTGCTCTCAGTTCTTTTTGATGATGGTCAAAATTATGGCTTTTGAGAAGTGGGCACCCATCTTGCAGACACTTTCGACATACCGTTTATTCAAATGGTCATGAAGAATTGTCTCAACAGATCTATATCTCAAGCCAGTTTCAGCACAAAGTTGTCCGAGAGTAACGCACCTGTCATTCAGCACAACCTTCTTGACTTTTGAAACACGGCTGAGACAGGACGACCTTCTCGAGGGTTGTCTTCAAAGGACATGTTACGTAATTTGAATCGATTGCACAAATACTTGACCACATCATAGCTTGGGCTGATATCTCCATACACTACTGACATTTCATCGTGTACAGACCGTGGTTTTCCCCCCCTTGGAGATGAAGGAACTTCATCACAGCTCCCATTTCAATTTTTTCCATTTTGTTAACAAAAATAAAAGTGCTAATCATGCTTTCTCAATCAAGGGTGATGTAATATTAAACTACCGGCTGTACAGCCTGAACTGAACTAATCCTCGGAAATTCCCAATTATTGGTGTGCATTCTTAGTTTAGAAAAGAGTCTTTAGTTTAGATGTATCTTGAACCTGTTCAAATTTCAAGTTCGTAGCTCGAATCCTTCGTATTTGGGTAAAAAACTGACTTATTGACATCCCCTCGTATTATAATAAAGCTAGAGGATCCTCCGGGAGACTCAGAGCAAGGGTTTAGAACTTCTATGACATTTTTGTTTGAGTTTATGTGAGTAAAGAAAAGCACACCAAAACAACAATGGAAAGCACACCAAAACAACAAAGGGAAAAGTAAGACAGACAGACAGACAGAAACAACAGAGGGAAAATAAAATGGTACACATAGGACCTAGAATCTACCAGTGCCGCCCTCCAACATCCCGCCTGTCGCCTACAAACACTTGACTTGCAGTTAAAAAGAAAAGATAAACGTCTCTCTCGTTCATGTATAATTTCACAAAGCCATAGTACTGTCTTAGATTTTAAATAATTTTGCATGAATCGTTCTTAGCCTGCCTGCATGCCAGTGTTAATTACACTACTTAATACCAGTAACACTTGTCAACCACTTTATGCAGAGATACATAAATTGCAAGTGAACAGCCTGATTGGGGGCTCTCGTGGTCTCGGTGTTAGCTCATTCTATAGAATTTAGAAATCTAGATCTAGGTCCTGGATTCGAAACCTGAGAGCGACGGAAAATTTTCTTCTCTAAAATTTCCTCCTTTCAACTTCTTTCCTGCTCTCTAACCATGCTCTGTCATCTGCTTTCGTTTCCACTTTCTGCCCCCCCCCCCCTCCTTGTCCCATTTGCCCCTCATCTGGGATTCTGATTCTTTCTACAGCCTTTCTACTGCTACTCCTCGGCACCTTCTCATTACTGTCTTATGGTAGGTATGATCTAACACCTCGCCTCTTCACTCCTCGGATAAGGGCGAAAAATCTCGGAGTTCCTCTGTGCAAGTTGCGCTCGTTAAAGATCCCTTGGTTGTCCTAAAATCGATAATATTAATATAAGAGTAGGCTTCGGCCGCCACCCGGGCTAAATTCAAATTCCTACCAAACTGATGTTTAATGTGTCCCTCGCGCTCGTATGACGGTAGGCTACGCAGTTGCGAGCGCCGTAAAACACTTACCAAAATAAACAAGCAGCCTGGTTATCTCTTGGACTACTACCCCGAGTACGCTCCTTACCACTTACGTCAGATGACGTGACATAAGTTATTGCTAGTCAACGTTCATTCAGAGTAGCATAAAATAACCTAATGACTTGTGGCATAACGACCGCTCTAGCCAAATGCATAAATCGTGAGTGGGCAGCCTAGTTCTCTTGGGCTACCCCTCGCTACGCCCCCCCCCCCCTCTCTCTCTGTCTCTGTCTCTGTCTCTCTCTCTCTTGCTGGGCGCTCCTTTAGCCCAGTTGGTATCATGCTAGACTACACAGTGGATGTCCCTGGGTTGAATCTCAGACGGGGCGTTCTTGACCGCTGGTTGTTTTGAGGAGTTCAGCCTCAACCCTTTTGGCCGGTCCTACTGGAGACGGACATCTAATTCGAATGTCCTGCTTCTTAAAAACCTGCATTGATTGGGGTGTTAAACCCATGAACTTATTTACTTAATCCTTTAAAAAAATATTTCCTCACAAATAATAGTTCTTCGTTCGCCAATGTCTGGCGACGACCATCAATGCATCCTCAGATGAGAATATTTCATGTAAGGTAATCGAAATCAAATTCTTCTAAGAAGAATTAAAGTGGGTTAAGACTTCGTTGAATCAATACAAACGCGTCAGACTACTCACAGTCATTTTTTTCCACCGGCTAAAAAAACGGTATTAGTTTAACGCCCCTATCAACATTGGTTCCACCGGCTACTCTCGTCTAGGCGTACTTACTTTTTAAAGTGATGAG